AAACCTACCAAGAGAAGAATCAGTTGGTGACTTCAGAGCCCCCAGGATCTAATAACCTCTGGAGATGCCATTAAAGGCACACTGGTGTACTTCCCCTAATGTCTAAGTCATTCCTTAGTCCAATCAAGAGCATCATCAGAAGTGAAGATCACAGTACCATAGCAGAAACGAGAGAGAGAGAGAGAGAGAGAGAGAGAGAGAGAGAGAGAGAGAGAGAGTTCCGACACCATGGTAGATCCAACTACCTGCTGCAAGGTGTGGTTTTTAGAATGGCATACACATTTCTGTAGTCGCCGAGAAATAAATAGGCCACCCCACAGAATGGATGGAAATTAGAGAATAGTGACTTTTAATTCACCTAATTTAGTTTGAATGCAAAGGGAAGCCTGGGGCGTGCGTCCATTCTTTGGCAGGCTGTTTAGTTGCCAAGCCCTCCCCTCCAGCATCATGTGCTTATTTCAACACCGAGTTTCTCAAGCCCTTCACAATACAATTTAGAATCAAAGTGGAAATGTTTCCCCCAAGTTTACTTGCTTATAATGATGACCACTTACGTATTCGTTGATTAATTAGTTGCTTTAGTCATTCAATGGAAGTCACGGGCTGCATTCGACCAGCTGCTTACACTTAGCACCCGTGCATAGTCAGGCTGCAAGCCATGCCTTGATGCAGAGTAAGGCGGTACTTTGACAGCAGCGCAGACGCTGAAAACATCTTTTTATGTCCTCAAGTCAGCTGATGGTTTTATCAGAAAACACAGACAGAGTCAAAGGAACACATTATTCCAGGCTGTTATTCGAGACGGCTCATCTAATAACTTTCTGTTGAGATGCTGGTCCCTGACAAACTTGGTTTAAGGCATGCAGAAGGGACATGAAATGTGCGTCGGGCCGTGACTCCAGTCCCGAGGGTTGCTGTGTTCCAACTGTCTTGATTCTTCAAGTAACTGGGGTCTGTTTGGGTTACTTTTCACTGGTTACAAATCCATGACCTTCTGGCCAAAACCTTGAGTCTGAAAATGTTTTGAAGCTGAGAAACTTCACATAAACCATAAGCAAGTAAACTTCAGGATTTTGTACACATGCTGCCCCAGTTTACCTTCTGTCAGGGTGGTGAATACCATGACCAACACCAGAAAGCAACCTGGGGAGGAAAGGGTTTAGTTCAGGTGGCAGATTGTCATTCTTTGTCAAGGAAACCCAGGGCAGGAGCTTGAAGTAGAAACCGAGAAGGACCATTACTCACTGCCTTCCTCTCCTTAGCTTTCTCAGCTAAGCTTTTTTACATAGCCCTGGTCCATCTGCCTACAGGTGGCATTGCCCTCAATCGCCTTGGCCCTCCAACATCAATTAACAATTAAGAAAATTCCCCACAGACATGCCTATGGGCCAGACTGATGGAGGCAATCCATCAATTGAGGTTCTTTCTCTAAGCAACTCTAGTTCGTATCAAGTTGTCAATAAAAAGTAATCAATACACACACTGATAGACACACATGGCATGTCTATATGAACCTGGGGAAACAACTGATGTATGAATCTATTCTCTGTGCTTTGCACTAAGTGGAATATAGCCTATAAATCCTATCAGATGACATCAGGCCAAGTTCTCATAATAAATGAGTTGCAGAGAAACTCAAGTTTCGCTAGGTTTATTTTTTTTTAATCTTTGCACTGCAGCAAGGAATTATGGGTATATTGTAGAGAAGACAGTGAATACAAATGTACCTTTAAAAGTCCACACAGACACGAACACACATTTATGTGATTACTAAGACTGAAAGCGATTTTAAGAACTACCACGTGAGTGGCAGAGCCAAGAGACGCTGGTAAGTTTGGAGGGAGGAGAGCAAGCTCAATCCTAGGTTGTCAGGGTCTCATTCTATGGACTGAGCAGCAACCCATGGGACTTTGTAGCTATAGAAAGAATACAGCGAGGTGCCACGTCCTCCTGCGAAGAGTCCGTGGACGGCCCGTAACCACTACCGAAGTGTCTCCTCGGAAAACACTCAGCAGTGCTGTTTCACGTTAGCAGCAGTGATGTATGATAGTGGCTACTGTTTTTTTGAGAGCTACGTTTTCATAAAATGATAAACGTGACAATTTTTTCTACTGTTGGCGCATATGTTATAAAGCCATCTTTTTCATGGTGACCTAAGACAGTTTTATGGTTGTTTGGAGAGGGGCATTTTTCAAGGCAGGGTTTCTCTGTGCAGCTCTGGCTGTTCTGGAACTCACTCTGTAGACCAGGCTGGCCTTGAACTCAGAGATCCACCTGTCTCTGCCTCCTGACTGCTGGGATTAAAGCTGCCACTGCCTGCTATTTTATGGTAATTTTAAAGGAAAATATGGCAGTGCTTAGGGCTGTGGTTCTCAGCACTGAATAAACATTAGAACATGAACCTGTGTTAGAGTGGAGTTGTGTGTTAGAATATCTTTGAACCTGGTTCACAGACCCATCTATCCTGATGTGTTTGGTTGGCGGTTCAATCTGGGCAAAGTGATATTAAGATTTAGATGAGTCTAAAGCTTGAATAAAAATAAACTCATTGATTTTGAGTAGCTAATGTTTCTGGATTTAACTTTTAAAAGCGTAGGTGAAGTCCTTATTGTATATTTTCTTACAATTTAGAAAATACAAAAAGTATGAAATTAAAATAAAATTATACATTAACAAAAGAATTTTTTCAATCAAAAATAACCAATATTTCTCTTTGTATTCAATGGCTAGGAATAGTGCCCTTTGGCCAAGCACTGTGTTATGATCAATGCACACACACAGATTTTTAATAAAACTTAGAATCGGTGCTCCTCCTATATAATTTCTGTATTTGGCATGGAGTCAGAGCTGTCAAAAAATTTCTACAGACTGTTCTATTCTCACCTGGTGAGCCTGTAACCACCAATGTGTTAGCTTAAGAAGAGATGGTGACCATACAGCTGTATAGAATCCAAAGACATCAGGAATCAGGAGTCACACAGCCCAGTAATGCTGAAGCCCTGACCGACCTGGATATAGCTTTGATTTAAGGCTGTGCCCATGCTGCTGCCTTTGTTTGCCTTCACAGGCATTATAGCAATGGAAACTGGTTGGTGATGGGAAGACGGTTGGAAGATGAGACACAGGCAAAAGTTAAAACTTCCAGGTTTGCACACTTAGACAGCGGAATTGGGGGGAGTAAAAGAGTCCCCGTGTGCTAGAGGGGTTATCCATTTGATATCTTACTTGTGTGCTGTTTCTGCCCAGGTGTGGAATATCAGGCATTAAGTAACAAAAGTGACCGCAAAGTCCCTTCTAGAGTTCAGTTCAAAGGAAAACAATCATGCTTCAGGGTGAGTCAAACATCTGTCTGCAGATGTTTGAAACATTTCCCATTGCTGTGTAGCTGTGCATCTTCAGAAAGTGATAAGGATGCAGGAAACTTGGGAAGCAAGGTGTGATTTCCTTGAGATAGGAGGCAGATATCGTTTCATAGGCAGGTTGACTGCATGTTTGTGGCTTTCATTATTGTTGCTAAGTCATGATGGAATGATACCAGATGGCAGCTGAGACATATGGCCCACATTTGAGACTCACTTCTGTACGGTTCCAGCTGACCAAATTCAGCAGGGAGGCTTTTAAAAAACATTAAATGTATCAGAGTTCCTCCACACGTTGGCCTGTTTAGTTTAATTTTAGCTACAGCTCTGATGAGCACTGAGGATCAGAGGAAGGTCTGCCTGAGATACTGTCCCGACAGTGTGCTGCGTGGATGAAAGTGTCACGTGACAACTATGTATTTGGGCGTCAGTCATTTGACTCAGACATTAAAGGTCCCCCTCCCACCCCAATCAAAACTTGGGAGCTTGAGGGGTTGATTAACTGGTTCTTTCACTTGTCTTTGATTTCCCAAGCTGTTGCCTTTCCTTGGAAGAACACACTAATTGTCTTGATTTTGTCAACTACAAATCCTTGCCATGGAGATTAGGGACACATGGAAGATGCTGTTAAATAGCTTATGACTAACAAGCCAATGAGACCGAATACCACTTTCTTCCTCAAAAATATTTGGATTAAAATATTTTTTTCTATGATGCAGCGCAATTCATTTTGTTTTTATACAAGGAGGTGGCCTCTTGGTTCACTAAGCATGAAAGGTGTTTTGGGGGGGCCTGAGAAGGAGTTCCGGCCTCGGAGCTTAAGTATTTGGTTCTGTGCCATGCATTATAACTTCATCCTTCACCTTTATAGCATCCCCTCCCCCCCGCTGTCTTTGAAGTCAATCATCAGAGAAATAGGACAGTAACTCCAGGCACACTCATTCTGAGGCGAGAAGCAATTTGTATGTTGAAAGCATACAGAAGTTATTTTTACTTTCCATTAGTAAACTCCTTCAAGTTCAGTTCTATTCTTTCCCTGGGCCAGAAATAACTAAATTCACAATAGGATGTGTTAAATTAATAGCTGGGAGTACAACCTCAAAATAGTGATATGTGCCCTTTTGGCTTAGATAAGCAGCTTCTGCTCAGGAGAGTGTCTCCTCTGGTCTTCTGGGCGCACGGTTGTGCTTTCAACGCCAGTGTTAGCAGATGTGGTCTGAAATAGCCTATCCCATAAAAACCCGGCCTATGTAGCATGGTCGTCTCAGTTGGTACCAGGCAAGTCAGCTGGCCAGCGCCTCTGTTTATTTATATGCACTAGTTGACTCATTCTGAACCTTGCCATCTTGATTGTTCTTCAACTTGACTGACAGAACATTCTGTCAAGATTTTACCTGAAAACTATTTTTCTCCATCACGATCATCCCTTCCATTTTTTTTTTAAACAAAACAAAACAATCCAAACTTTGATCTCGGTGCTTGAGAGATTTTAATTTGTACCCTGCTCAAGATGATAGTTGACAAAGGTGATTTCCCAGTCTTGGCATTCCCTTGCCATCACAGGCATGGGATGCCCATTCCTCAATACCTAAGGGAAGTATGCCCAAGTATGAACTGACATACTGTTGCTTTCTCCCACAGCCACACCACTGAATTCACTCAAGGCCCCTCGGGTGGACACGGCTCCTGTGGTCTCATCTCCCTATCAAAGGAGAGACTCAGACAGATACTGTGGCCTGTGTGCAGCCTGGTTTAATAATCCTCTGATGGCCCAGCAGCATTATGATGGCAAAAAGCACAAGAAGAACGCAGCACGGGTTGCCTTGCTAGAGCAGCTGGGAACATCGCTGGATCTGGGGGAGCTGAGAGGTAAGGGCAGGCCCTCCCTTAATCATTTGCCCCAGCGCGGCTCTCTGCAGAAGTCCTGTGTTTTCTGAAAGCGGAGTGATGGCTTGTAGGGCTTTAATGCTAAAGGAAAGCCTGGAACTCTCAAAGGAAAGGCCCTGAAAGCAAATGAGCAGCTGCTAGCTTCAGCTTGACTTCTAAGGCCGCCTTTGTTTCTAAGTACTCATTTCCAAAATTTTCAGATCGAAGATGCAGAGGTGCAAACACTAGTCTTTCCTTTCTGTTCGCCGTTAAGCTCCTTCTCTGGTGAATGCTTTTGTGGACGAGTAGTAGAAGAGAAGCTGAAGGACAGTAATGCTGGCTTATGTAAACTCGTGTGCACTACGTTTAGCCAAAGGAAGCCATGATGTGCCCCGTGGCCCACTGCAGCCACCGCCTGCCACTAGAGCTCTCTAGGATGCTGGAGAGCATCTCCTGTGAGTTCCTACTGAGGCAGAGTGTAGAGTAGCAATGAGTGCTGTAGTTGGTGTCGTAGGGACCATGACTATCTGATGGCACTGAGCGAGATAGTTTATCCTCAATAATCACATAAACATGATTAGCAGCTTGATATTGACCGTATAGAGACAGAACAAAATTTCGTACTACATATTACATTGCTAAATGATACCATGAAAGGTCCTGTGGTCCCATGTCCTCAGCCTGGTACATTATGGTTTAGATGTGGTTTTATGAACTGGCCAGGAAACCATCAATAATAACATTTGTAAGCTATAGAACACAAAGGTTTACAAACCAATTTTGAGAAGATCACCTGGTTTCAGTTGGATCCTGTAAGAAGAACCTATGCTTTTAATCCCCCAATCTGGACCCTGAATAAGGGGATACTTCTGACAGTAAATGACCTTAGGTGACTCTTAACCATGAGAGTACGATCAAAGGTCATGCTGTGAGAAGCTCATCGAGAAAGACTGTTTATCAAGAAAGACTTTGCCAGGGAAAAGGATTCGAGTCAGAGCTAGATGTGTGGGCAGGAGAGAAGGCTGTGCGAGCAAAATCATGTGTGTGCCTAAAAGGCAGAACACATAAACAGAGACCAGGTTTCTAATGCATGGTTCTGGAAGATTCTTAAACTGCTTCGTGAGTTTCAAGGCCCAGGATGCACCGGCAAAGCTGCAGTGGAGACTGATCCTTCCTTAATGTTTGAGCAGTGTCTAAGTCCAAACAAGCAAGTGTTTTGCTTGATTTCTTGTGTGGTTTCTAGTTACTGAAAAGCCATACAGTCCTTACTATTTCAGTATGCCAGCTAACTTCACATTGTAGAAAATCTTGAGTCACTGGCACGGCTGCTCTTTGTTGGGGGGATTGCTGGTGATAAAAAGTGTTTGTCTTGTATACAGAGGACAAGTTGCTCCAAAGCCAAGGGCCACCCCGCAAAGTTGCTATTAATGGTAAATAACAAGTCGGCTCTGTGGCTCCTTCATGGCAGGGCACTAGAAGAGAAAAATGAGGATTTATTTATTGTTTGTGCCAGATCCCATGATGTGAAGAAGAATTATTCCTACGGCACATTATTCTTGTCTAGTTTGAATTATCTGCATTGCATCTTTTATGTACAGCCACATCTTAATGGCTCGGGCGTCAGGTTCTCTTGCACTAGAGTGACTTAACTTGGGTATGAAGACAAAAGGATGCTCTTTGTCTTGGTAACTCTACTTTGCTGTGACTCAGTAGCATAGAAAACACTGCCCTTGGGTCCACCTTTTGATCCACTAGCTGATGCTTTGATCTATATTTCTGCAAATGTTCAATACTACAGACTGTTGAGGAATAAAGCAACCTTGGGAATTTGGCATATTTTAAAAGATTTAAGTGTATATGCTATTTCTGACATACCCTTAAAACATGGTCAATTAATAAGGCAAAATGTGTCAGGCATATTATAACTTAGAAAAATGGCACCAGGAATGTTCATCGTTTGAAATATTACATTAGTTATTGATTATCATGGTATTCCTCCTGTCTTTTAAATATTTCCTCCTGTTCTCCATACCGATAGTTAGCTTGAATCTGAGTCTTTGGTTAGTTTTTCTCATTGATATGATAGTTCAAAATGTCTAGAATAGAGGAAGGCATGTAGCACTACTCAATAATTGCTGAATGAACAAGAAAAGGCCAACCAGAACCAAAACCAAACCAATAGACAAACAAACCTGGCACACAATTGGGCATGCCTCATTTTTGCAGTGTCATGAAATGAATAATTTTCATAAGACATTCTTTATGATTCTTCCCATTTTAAAAATTATGTATATTTTGCATACACTTAAATGAACAGATGTGACATTTTTAAAAGAGTTTTGACAATGCAAGTACTGGTATGATTCATACTCCTGTGATCGTATGTGACTTTTTTAAATATCATGAGATATGCCTGTGGATGTTCCTGGTTAGCCCTAGTCCTCTGACCCCCACATGTACCCCACACATGAATGTGAACATGCACACACTCATCCATAATCATTGTTTATACCTGTGACCAAAGATGTTCTTGACTTTCCTTCTACAAGCTCCATAGTTTTAGCAATTATGTTTCATATTATGATATGTCTCAAGTTAACTTTTTGTTTAGTTTGAGGTAGGGGGCTGACATTCATTTTGTTTCCATTCACTTGCACAGCAATTACGAAAAATATGTTAAATATTTAATTTCCATTCCCAAATTGTCTTGAGTTATTTTATCAAAAATCTGTTTATGGGGTTGGAGAGATGACTTACCAGTTGAGAGCGCTCACTGATCTTGCAAAGTACTAGAGTTTGGTCCTAGCATCTACATGGTAGCTCATAATCTCTGTAACTCCAGTTTCAAATGTTCGGTGCCCTCTTCTGGCCTCTGAAAGTATTGTGCACACATGGTACTGGCAAAACACATAGTCATATAAATAATAATAAGTAAGATCTTCCTTAAAGAGGAAAATCCATTTGTGTGTGTATTTCTGTACAACTGTTGTCCCCAGGGAACCTCATGGTCTGATACACTGTACTGATTGTTTAACATTGGATACATCCTGAAGTTAGGGACTACATGGTCTCCAGCTTGAAGATAGTGTGGCTATTCTAACTCCTTTGTACTCTGTTTGAATTTCAGAAGCAGCTTTTCAATCTGTAGGTAGAACATTATCTGGACTGTTGAGAGAGATTCAATTATCTGCAGATCAGTGTGGGGGAAGTAAATTATTCAAAGCATAGAGTCATGTGATCTGTGAACACTTTCTCTATGCTTCTGACTTTCAAGTTTGTAAATGGTGCTTTAGAGCCAAGGCAAACACTTTGTGCATCATTTATTGAATTCATGCTGAATATTTGGTGGTGTTTAACCTATTACAAAGTACATATTATTAATGTCATTTAATGTTGTTGCTGATAATATGTAGAGACTTTTGTACATTGACTTCAATCCGTGTGATTTACACATAATTTCCTACCTGTTATTTTCATATAACCTAACAGTACAAATAATGCGCACTTTCTACTGTGTTTGGTGTTCATTGTACATTTTCACTAGAAACTATAGAACCATGTTGTTCTAACTTTTTGGTGGCCTCAACTAACAGGTAAATTTAAAAGCCAATTTCCTATAGACTACCAAAGCATTAGAAGTAGGATTGGCCTAAATATTAGTTAACATGTACAGACAAATATCAACTCTGGTGTCATTTTTTTTTTCAAGAGAACAAGTGATAACTTCTCTACATCTGAATTATAATTTAGCAAGGAAAGCCTGTCTTCTTCCTGAACAGAAAGTCTTCTGTAAAAACAGCTATCAGAGTATAGAATTATGAAATTGAATGGCTGGAAAGTACCCTAGACTTTTTCTTTATGGTTTAATTTCTTTGTGTTAGCATAAAACACCTATAGAAGGCACTTTCTTATTCAGAAATTGTGGCAACGTAAATTCCGAGACTATGACTATTTGTGTATAGAATATTCATTTTATACATTTAATAATTCCTTTAAAAGCTCCAGAATGAGACTAAGCCCAGGTTTATTTGTTGTTTTAGAGGACTCTAGGTTCTTCTGCTGTAATTCTGTCTGAAGACACCACACAGCTTTCGAGCGCATTTGAAAATTTAATAATGCTTCTAAGTCAAAAGAGTAATAGCACTGTAAGTCACATTAAATATCATTGAATTATACATGCCCTTTCTTTTTACAGAGCGAGCTCTGAAGTCTAGAGCTGTAAATGGGCTTTTCTCTTCTGAGTTGTCTCTAGAGTATAGTTCTAAGCCCCTGATAGCAGGTGCACCCTTATCCATGACTCAGCACCTCCTGTTTGCAGGTGCACCCATCTCCATGACTCAGCACATCCTGCTACAGATGCACCTATCTCCGTGACTCAGCACCTCCTCTTTTCAGGTGTACTCATCTCTGTGACTCAGCACTAGAACCATGAACAATTCCCTCTTCAGTTTAGAAGGTTGAGGCTGAGCAGCTTAGATAGTCTTAAAAACATTTTTAAACCTTGCTTAGACCTCAGTTATATAATAAGCATAATTAACTCAGTTTTCCAGAAGCAAATTCTTGACAAAAGTATGGTATACTTTTAATGAGTAAGTTTTCATATGGCATTTATGACTCTATGTAAACTGGAAGAAATATAGAAATGCAAAGAAATCATAGTCACTCTTCATGGAGGTGAGGGCTCGAGAGGTTCAGGGCTGTGCGGGGCTGTTAGAGTCTCACTCTATGTAATTGTATCTGCTGTCTGGATTGGCTGTATTGGAGATTGATTTCAAGGGGAGAAAGCAACTCAAGTAGGACTTCACATCCCAGAAGTGGGAGGTGAGTCAGGAGGAGCAGATTTATCTCAAAATAAGTAGAAAATGAGAGATTTTCACTTTTTGAATTATTTCTGCTGTGAGATAGTGTAGTGACTTGGATCTACTTACTTCTGTTCTGCTTTAATCTTGACTTGGTCTTTGCAGGAACCCCAGGAGGTGGGTGACTTAGCATATTTAGCCCTT